ATTACGAGGCATAACACTAAATACTAATTATATAGTAAATAAAGTATTGATATTTTTTCAGGATGTCATTAACGATGTAATGCCATAAAACCATAATACATAAAACAAAAACCAGTCAGTGGTAGATGACAGCAACTTTCAATAAAAAGCTTGGTTTCTAAAAAAAAAAAAAAAATCTAAGAAATGTGACTTAAAAAGGCAATAGAAACTGTGACTGTAAATGTGGCGGAGAACCACAGACACTCATGAACGCTGAAAAGCAGCACTTCCTCTTTGGAGGCAGGACGATTGGATGATAAAAGCCAAAACTCATGTGATATGGAGGCTGATTTTGTACATTTAGTTTTTGTTTATCGTTTTAGTGAGGTCCAGGCAAAACTGGATAATTCTCAAACCATCTTTAATAATGATCACTCAGACGCAGCTGACCCCAACTACACATGGGCCTGATTTCTAACTTTATTTCTGGAAATTTAAATTTACCTTTCCTTAAAATTTAAATATTTGGAGTTGCCCTAAAGGGACAAGATGACTATGTAGACAATGTGACTGGTTTAACAACTCGGCTATCTCTAAAAAAACTCTCCACTATATTACTCAAACTGCTTAAACAAGTCAGTCAAGGAAGCACTTCATGTGTAATCAGTGGATCTGTCTTATGCACCATCTGACAGAGAGAAAACCACATGCCCCACAGCATGTGATAATGTTAATTTCATTGTGTGTGACTTGAACTGGTTGTGGACTGGTTTACATGTTCATATTCATCTGCAATATTACAAAAGCATTATTTTAATAGGATCAGCAAGGAATGAGGGTTTGCATTATTTAGGATCAGTCAATTTGCAACAGTAACAACCAAACTGTTGTTATTATTTATATTTATAATTATTATTATTACAGTGCTCAGTTATTTATTACAAATTTATTAGTTACTTAAAGTGCCCCATTATGCTTTTTCAGATATGACCTTTCATGTAGTGTGTAATACAGCTATTTGTGAATGTAAAAGCTCTGCAAAGAGTTCTTGTCCCCCAAAAGAAAAGCGATTCTGAACTGCATGAAACGAGTCGTCAGGTTTGTAACTAATTTGCATAATGCCTGTCTATGCTCTTGATTGGCTGAACAACATCTACTTTGCCCCGCCCTCAAACACTGCAGTTGTAGCAGTCCAATCAAATCAAATCAAATAAAGAGACAGCTCGCACAATGCGTCAGAGTAAAGTCGTTTACAAATGTGTGCGCTGCAGCTCGGTATACGCAACAATTGAAGATATTAGAAATGTTTGTCGTAAGAGTTTTATAGTAAAAATATAGCATATCAACAGTGATCAGAAATAATGATCAACCTAATACTCACAATAAAAATAATAGTCTCTGAGGTAAGAAGTGGATTATCCTTCACATGAAATGTTTGTCTTTTCATCCTGAAATGCGAGGCAAATGTTGGATCACAATAATTAGGAACCAGTTTCCACAAATCCCTTCACTCGATTGGGATGTTTTCTTTTATTCTGGACGGCAAGTGCAGTAACTGTAACATCGAGCGTATTTTGCAGTATTAAACACGGGTTTATACTGATTTCATCAGGCTCCGAAAATTCTTCAAAAACACAGAGAATGTCCTCCTCAGGATCATTCTCTTGCGTCATCAGAACAGGGTGTTAAACGCACCACCGTTTCCGTTTAAAACACGTTTTGCAACTTTTTGACTGAGCCATCTGACCAATCAGAGCAGAGCAGACTCTAGGAAAGGAGGGGTTTAGAGAGAGACTGAATTTACTGAACCGTTTCAGACACTGCGAGAAAAGAGATGATGCTGCAGTGTATATTATGAGAAAATTCAAGCATTTTTACCTTGCATGCATGTAAACCAACTGCACGAGACACCAAACCAACATTAGCAACCTTTAAAATTCATTAATTTATCAGAATAAACAATAATATAGTTAAAGTGTAGGGCTGTGACGGTGGCAGTGTATTACCACCGCGGTGGAAATAATAATAAACGAGGCTCAAACATCCAGTTCGTAACAAACATGCGTGTTTATTTGAGCACTTCCGTCAATGAAACATCACACTAAAGCATTGAAATAAATATCAGTGAATAATATTAACTTACATAATATAACAAAGCTAAATAGTTAAAAAACATTTGTTTAATATTTCCACACACAGACGCGTGATATAGCCTAGCCTACCGCTCTGCGCTACGAGAGGGACACGAGCAGAAAGAGACTATTTTTTTTTTTTTTTGTAAATCTTCATGTTTTCTACTTGTTGTAAAAGGTCTAAAGAGCGAATTTTATCTTCCACAAGAACAAGGCATTTAGGCTATGTTTGATTTTGCGCTGCAAGAGAAAGCGAAACTAAAATTCACCCGTGTGTGTGAAGCGCGGACTACCAATAATCTTGACGCGCCTTACCAAGTCTAATAAGAAGCACAAACTGTGCTAAAAAGAATTTGACGTGCAAACAAAAAGTTAGGCTAACTTTCCTACCACGTTTTTCTACTTTACCACAGTTGCACACTGAGTCCGAAATTTTCATACGCGTTTTTTCGTATTCGTGATTCGGTGGCTCTGAATTGTCAAAACACCATTCAAACTGCTTGCTACGGATGCGAAAAACGCAGAAAATCGAACCCGATTCGATTTTTTTTATGACGGACGAAAGTCTCGGAGGCAGTGTAGCGTGAATGACATAACGTGAGGACGCATTTAATTTTTAACGTGCGAAAATTTCGGAGGCGAATTTGTGCAAGGGCCTTAAAGAATGCGAATGTAATAGGCCTACTTAAAAGCGAACCAAAGAAAGAAAGGTTTATAATCCCCTGCGAAAATGGGTGAGACGTGAGAGAAGATTTGGGAAAGAAAAAAAGAGATTCCATGTCCAGTGGAATAACTAATGGAATATTCAAAAATTCGCTTATAATCGGGATCGCAAAACATACTACAAAGCTTACAACTTAATTGTAATTGTAACATTTAATTGCTAACCTATTAGGCTAAAGCTTTTATTATAGCATTCACATACGAAAAACTGTGTTTTGGCGAACCTTTGCTACTCAGATTGTCAAGTTTACCGGCACAGCCCTACATACTGATAACCGCCATTTTATAAAATCAATACACCACTCCATTAAACCACAGTAAAATCATTCTATTATGAATACTGAAATATTCCATATTTCCAAGAATGTCTCGTCTCCTTGCCTTTGACTAATAACAATGCTACATTTCAATAGTAGTAAAGTCAGGACTGTCTGTTGTTCATTTTCTCCAGTGTTTTTAACTTACTCAACTTCCTTTGAATCAGAGTTCACAGAAACACACACACACACACACACACACACACACACACACACACACACACACACATTCTGCAGTGGAGTTTGGGATTCATTAGTCCGCAGTGACGAGCAGTCGAGCCCTGAGGCGTCCAGAGGCACCACAACATATATTTCTTCCACCGTGATTCAGCTGGACCGATACTCTGTGTTGGCACCGGGACGGAGGAAACGCCTCTACTCACACTCATTGTAGTAATATTTTTTGGAAAGCAGTTGTTTTCTTATGTTGATCATAGACAGTTCATGAACACAGGTGTTATCAATCAAAGGCGAACGACTGCACATGGTATGAATCCTTCGGTGGTCTTGAAAAACAAACTCCTGTCCTGACTATAGAAGTGAAGTCTGGTTCAGCTTATTCTAGACAAGAACCGCTCACACAGAAAGATGTCTGACATTTATAGAGGACATATCACGCTTTCTTAAGTGTGTTGCTGTTTGTGCATGAAAAAGCTCTGCAAAGGGAGTTCTTCTCTATATCAGTGTCAGTGTTTCTGAACTCCTGAAACGCCTCCATTGTAGTCTTGAGTTTCTTCCGGGAAGGAACGCGTCACAATATTCCTCATTATAATAATTCATACGCAGAATAAAGGGGCGGGGCCTGGTTGAGTTAGTTAGTAGTGTGTTAAACTGGTGGTTATGGTAAGGGGCGGACATTTCCCAAACACACTCAAAGCGCTCGACCAATCACAACACACCGATCCAGCCGACCAATCAGAGCACAATGTGCTTTTCAGAAGGAGGGGCTTCATAGAGACAGGAACTAAACAGAGCGTTACTGACAGACTGGGAAGAGAGGAGCCGCAACAATGGAGAATATGAGGAATATAATGTGTTTTTGGAACATTCAAACATGAAAACCTATTCTAGTAAACCCCAAAAACTAAATCAAGACTTAGTAAGAGCATGATATGGTCTCTTTAAGTAAGGGATCTGACAGGGTGATTAGGTCCCTAACGAGAAGAGGTAACAACCACCTGAATGTACATTACACAATCAAACCAAAATCTGATATGGCTTTGTGCAATTATCAAATCACTAAGGCTGCGATTTAATTACATAAATATATGCGCTGCGCGTTTCAGAGTGAAGCGCAGCACCGTGTTCATTTACACATGAGCAGCTCAATGAGTAAATGCTCGATTCAGAGTAAATCCTGTAATTTTTTTCCGTCCCAATTGTGCACAGGGTTATTATAGTTATTGACAACCGAAACCATAAAAAAAAAAAAAACTTTCATAACTTGAAATAAAATAAATTGATTGAGGGGTTTTGTATATATATTGTATTTCAGCTAAGTGACAAGGCTTTTGCTTTTGAAAAGTGAAATAAAAAATAATAACTATATAGACAATAATGGCAAAAACAACAAATTCATTTAAACTTTAACAAATTAAAATGAAAATAAAATATAAAAAAATCTAAATATTAATAAAAACTATAAAAGTATCTCAACACTTCTTAGATACCACTGACTCGTGCAGTTCTAAATGAAAGTAAATACCAATAATAAACCAGATTGGAGGAATCATTCATGTCTGTAGCTCAAAGGTGTGGGTGAAGTCATGAGCCACCGTTTAATAATTAGGGATGAAATCACTGTCACTGATCAGCAGTGATCGAGGGAAGTAATGAGGGAAGACTTTACCTGATAGGCAAATGAATGTGGTGTAGTCACCCTGGCCTCCTGTAGCCAAGAATGGGATCTTCTTCTTCGTCCTCCTCTTCACCTGCACGGCTGCCAACATCCGCTCATCATTCGGAAGAAAGACCGCCTTGTTGAGGGCCGATTTGCCACTCATTGTAGCCGATGGCACAGGCTGGGTGACAGCAGGGCTCTCTTAACTCTGACGACAGAAAAAATGAGACAGTTACAGTTTCTCAATATGAGTTTTTAAGCGTAATCTTGCGTCCTTGTGTTCTTGTACTACATCATCAACCGTTAAAATCTGGTTCCAGTACTCAAGAATGCAAGTACAGAGAAAGTACCTGGATGTGTTCTTGATATCAAGGATGCATCGAGTGCAGACTTGAGAGAATCAAACCTTTAAAAAACCCAGTCATCATCGCAGGCGGACGGACGTACAGAAGCCTGTAAGCTAGTTCTCACTCAAGAGATTACCGCGGAAAGCTTACAAATACGTGACGGCTTGTGAAAGTAAACCTATGTCGTAAAAACATAATTTTGATAGAATTATAAACACCTGGGGCCTCATGTATCAACACTGCGTACGCACAAAAACACGGCGTACGTCAGCTTTCACGTTCACGGCCAGATGTACTAACAGTGAAATTAACGTAAGAATGTGCGTTCCTCCAAGTAAACTTCATGTCTGGCGTACGTATATTCGTCGTGATTTTTGTCCGTTGGCGACTCAGAGGCAATAAAGTGAAGTGGCAAACATTACACTACGAATTGTTCTATCGCACCACCAGCTGTCAGATATTGCTTATAATTTGTAATTGATAAATTATTTGACATTGTCACACGAGTTTTATTAAAATATTATATTATGCAATTAAGTAAGAACATAGGCTATATAAAGCATGTCCAAATTGATACAACCCGTCTAGCAATGGCAGCGTTGGCTTAACTATAGGAATAAAAAATAAACTTCATTAATTCGGTCAGTAAAGATAAAAAAAGAAAGTAATATTTTTATTCAGCAAGGACACATTGAATGTGTTTAAAAGTGAGAGTAAATGCATTTATAATGTTACAAAAGATTATAAGATTTCTATATCTGTTTGAATTAAATTTTTATTCATTAAAGAATCCTGAAAATACTATATCACGGTTTCCACGAAAATATGAAGCAGAAGCACAGCTGTTTTCAACACTGATAATACTCAAAAATATTTCTTGATCATCAAATCATCATATTAGAGTGATTTCTGAAGGATCATGTGACACTGAAGACTGGAGTAATGATGCTGAAAATTCAGCTTTGATCACAGGAATAAATTACACTTTACTATATATTCACATAGAAGACATTTTCAGTGAAATTTCGTTTCTTGCTTGCTTTAGCCATGTTCTTGCTGGTTTCTTTTGCCAAATTGGACTAATTACCATATTTAAATTAATTTAATTGGGGGAGGAGACTGGGTGGGGCGTTGTGGTCGTGCATGTGCGCTCAATTTTACGTTAATTGACCCTTCGCTAAGCCACGCCCGAAAACCGCCACTGGCCAATCGTGGCTTAGCAACCGTAACTAGGCGCGGGATGTCTGTCAAGCTTTCGAGCGAGGCAAACATGCCGACGCGTTGTGCGTATGGATTGTGCAAATCTGATACCCGGTATTCTAAAAGTTTGGAAGGTGGGGTGGCATTTTTTCTCTTCCCGAAACCTAAAAGCCAAAGGGGAGAAATCCCGGGCGTGGATCAAGCAGTGTGGAGACCCATTCACAACTAAATGTCGACAGGATTAACAAAAAAAAAAAACGCCTATTGCTTGGAAATAATGGCGGTTCTTTGTTCATAATGCATATATTTGAACGTAAAATAAGACGATTAAAGGCAAGACGGAGGCTCACTGACATACTTTAAAATATGTTTCAGCATTGTGTTAATCGACGGCGGACGGCCTACTAACGTTAACTTTACCCCTGTAACTTTACCCCAATCCGATCGCGGCTCTCCCGGTGTTAGATTGATGGATAAACTGTTTGATTTAAATTGATTTGATATTAGATTATTTTCACATTTCACTTACTCTGCTGTGCATGAACATAGCTGTTCAATTTGTGTGTTTCCCATTTGAATGGTCTGCTAAGGAGGCGGCTGCTCCTTGCGCTGGGACCTAAAGTTATGGCTTTAGCTTCAATTTTGATGAAATTATTCTCTAATCGGTTGCATATTATGTCGTGGATATATCCCTCGAATGCATACTGCTGTCCCTTTTGTCTTGCTCTCTCAGATATTTCACTTGTTCGCCAAAAATGACTAAATATCTCCTTGGGAATGTCTGACACCGGTGCATTCACACTGTAATAGACGTGGCAGCCGCGAAAGCTTGACAGGCGTAGCAACAGTAACTAAGGAGGGCGGGCTTAGCGAAGGGTCAATTGGGATGTACAAAGAGAATATGCGTGGGATCCTTCGTACGCAGAGATTCATACATCTGCTTTTTTTTTTGTGCGTACGCACATTTACAGCTTTGTCCGTACGCAATGTTTTAGTATGAATTCAACGCAAGTCTTTGTACATGAGGCCCCTGGAGAAAACCTACAGTAGTTTATAATTGGCATATTTAAAATAATCTTAATGTTGACAAAGCGCCTTAAATACATACTCATTTACACAAATACAAAAAATAAAAAGATAACAATAATGCAAGTAAATATTTTAATATGTTACGACACCTGTGATGTTATGCTATATATATTGCGCTTTGGATGGTGTTGTCCCACTGCGGGGCGGTCAGTTAAGCAACAAGATCACAGCACATCTCATTTCTGAGAACATGAACTGTTATGAACAGTCTTAAAGGGGGAAAAAAATGTGATGACTACCCTTTAAGACAAGTCTTAGCAGTTTGTGCAACCGGCTCCAGGGGGGCGTTTCCCAAAAGCATCATTAGCCAACTATGGGCGCAAGTTCCACTGAATTGTGTTGGTAATGACAGAACTTGCAACCATATTTGACATTGGAAAACGAACCCCAGGAGCGTTACAAACACACTGGGAAGAGAGAAGCTGCAACAATGGAGAATATGGGAAAAATAAGGTGTCTTTTTGAACATTCAAGCATGAAAACATATTCTAGAAGAGCCCAAAAGCACACGATCAAGACTTTAAAAAGGGGGATAATATGGTCTCTTTAAGTAAGGGATAATTTACATTCCAGCGGGTTTTATTGCAAAATAAAGCCCGACAGGGTGATCAGGACCCCGACGAGAAGAGATAACAACCGACTGAATGTATTATTGCAGAATTAAGCAGTCAAACAAAAGCTGCATATTGCAACTGTTGTTGTTGTATTCTTACATGACACCTGTTAATATCAACTTCATTTGAAACATAACTTGATAGCAGAAACATCATGATATTATAAAAACTTGGACCAAACTTAAATTCTGAATACTGACCTAATATTACAAAAAGTTAAGACATGAATAAAACCTTCAAGAACTAACACACTCGCACACTCCTGCAAAAGCAACAAACACAAACACGTTCAGTCTGTCAGCAGTCATTGTGGACTGGCATATGGGAGGCTGCACCAAACTCATGATCCTTGTATAACACAGAACAAAGACTCGTAGTTACAGTCACGATGCCTGAACAAAGGGCACAAAGCTCCTGTTAGCAAACAGCGGGCCTGGAGGCAATGGTTTTGTCATGAAAAGGTCAGTGCTGATGTTGTCTCGTTTGCACACTGTTGTCTCACCTAAATGAGAAACAAATGGCTTTTAGATATCCAATTTGTCGTTTTTCCACTTGATGTCAACCTGGCTTGGCTCTTTGCACACCCTCAAAACACATGCCCATCAAACTCTCCATCAGACCATCGTGTCGAAGCATCACTCCTGGTTTTAAAGAAAACGTTTAAATGTTCTTCTGCACTCTTTTTAGGGGGATGCAGCCACATTTTTCAAACCTGATTAACTAGCTTTCAGCAACCTTAAAAACCTGTAACCTCCCTTTACATTTGCTGAAACAGTAGATGCAGTAAGATATCTGAAATGATTTAAATCTCCCCTTACTAGTCACTGAAAGCCTTCTTTAGATAGTGGCAAACCCAGTCACAGGGAACATGAAGCAGCAATATATGGCAGAGAGTCCTCTCTATTTCAGTCTCTTAAAAAATAATTAAATAAATAAACTGTAAAATTAACCAGTTGCAGACAAATGATGCCATTTTTATTTTGTGTCTTTGAATCATAGTATTTCAGCATCTTTATGCCATCACACACTGGTTCTGAAGTAACAGTCAGACGTTCAGATATATAAGGTCAGACATACACTGATGAGCCAAAACATTATGACCCATCACAGGTGAAGCGAATATCGTCGATCATCTCCAAACAAGGCCATGTATTAAGGTCTGGTTAGATTAGATGGTCAGCAGACTTTCGGTTCTCGTAATCAACGTGTTGGATAGAGGATAAATGGGCAGGAATAAAGATCTGAGCGACTTTGACAAGGCCCAGATTGTTATGGCGAGAGGACGGTGTCAGAGTATCTCTGAAACGGCGAGGCGTGTGTGTTGATCCCGGTCAGCAGTGGCGAGACTTTACCAACTGTGTCCGAGGAGGGACAAACACAAATCATGATCATCATGTTGAGTGTCAACACGAAGGGCAATGAAGGCCATCCCGTCTGGTCTGAGCAAACTGAAGGTCTACTGCGGCACAAGTCACACAAGATTTTAAGGATGGTTATGGGAGGAATGTCACAACACATGCGTAGCCGCAGACCAATCAGAAAGCCAATGATGAGCCCGTCCACCATCGAAGCGTCTACAATGGGCACGAGAGCGGCGGAGCTGGACCAGCTGAAGAAGGTCGTCTGGTCCGATGAGTCCCGTTTTCTTTTACATCATGTGGACATGTGTGCCATTTCCCTGGGGAAATAACGGCACCAGGATCACTGTGGGATAATGACGAGCCGCTGGAGGGAGTGTGATGCTCTTCTGGGAAACTCTGGGTCCGGACATTCATGTGGACTAAAGATTGTTGCAGAGCAGATCCAGCCCTTCACGACACTGGTGTTCCTGGTGGAAGTGGCTCTTTCTGCAGGATAATGCACCGTCACACTGCACACATTGATCAGGAATGGATTGAGGAACATGATGAAGAGTTCAAGGTGTTTCCCTGGCCTCCAAACTCCCCAGATCTCAATCC